CTACTTGCATACGTACTTCTTTGAAATAACCAAGAGTATGGCATTGCCTGGTCTGGCTTTGGATGTACATTGTACTGAAACTGTGGAATTTTAGTCATTTCTTTTAGACATTTAACTGAAAGTTAAAATGGCTAGTAAACTGCATTCTGACTGTAGAATTTAAGTACTAAATAAACTCTATGCATATTAGACCTGCTTCACTTGCTCTCATGTTTCGTGCTGTTGTTGGATCAGTTGCACCACAGTCTGCAGCCGAGTGCTCGAGCTGCCTGGCCCCTGGAAGGCCATTCCTGAATGGCAGTACAGACTGATACCTCAGAGTGCAGAGGAAAGATGAAAGCTGTCACTCCGCAAAGCTGCCAGAATCTTTATTCCCTTTTCTGTTCCATTGGACACACGATTTGGGAGCTGGGTGATCAGGCACTGGAATACATGAGAGGCAGACATGCACACACCAATATCACACAAACTGGCTTTGCTTTGCACTTGAGTTTGACAGAGAAGAATGATATTTAAAGAAACCATTAAATAAAACTGAGAATTTATTGAGACAAAGCTAGAAAGCAAACTAATGTGCAGCAAAACCCACAGGATTCTTTTTGCAGAGCCTGGGCTTCCCTGGAGCAGGATGTAATCACCATGAAATGACATCACTGTCTCACTAAGAGCCCCAAGAGTTACATAATGTTTGCTAATTACCGTCGAGGTTGTGGGAAAGCTGAGGCAAGGACACCAAGTAATTCACCAAGTCCATAAAGTCTGTCAGAGTGATCTGTAATTCAGAAGCCATGGTTTGAGGTTTTTGAGTGCAGCTCATGCTGTATCTGTGATCTTCTGATTTCATCTGAAATTCTGTTCATACAAAGGAAGACGAAGCTAAGCTAGAGGTGGTTGCTCAGTAATTTGCCCTCATTTGACACTGATCAATTAAAGGAAGCAGTCTGCCTTCCTCATGAAGCTTTTGCGTATCTGTTGCACCTCCAACACAAGTCCCATTGATAAACACTCTTGGGACCTATCAAGAAAACAAAAGTTACATTAGTTACGTCTTGGGAAAAAGGTAAATGTTGAAGCAAGCCCATGTGGACTGCAGTACACACAATCACTGTGTTCTTCTAGATGTGTGTATAATATTAGTGTACAACCCATACTTTCCATAGTTATTTACAGAGATGGGAAACTTCACGTGCCCCTCAAAAATGGGATGATGACACTGTGTGGGTTATTGTAATAAATTCCAATAATTGAGTCAAAGTGAGACTATGTAAAATAAAATAAAGGTGTTGTAAAACACAATGGTTTAAATATACAAATGAAAAATGGCTTTGATACTTCAATTAGTTCAGTGGCAGTATGGCAAAGATCAGCTCTGAGGGATAGACAGAGGGGTTCTAGAAAAAGAGACCTGCAGCATTTAATTTAGGAACTTGTATCCCAAATTTACCTGTCTGAAAACAATTAAGCACTTGCTGTGGATATAACCCAAGAGTGATGTGTGTAGCCCAAGCTGTTACTTGTTATGTATAAGAGAATATACTCACTGTTCTGCCACCAGTCATCTGTTCCAGAATGTCTTGCAACTGCCTTCCATTTGTATTTAGGTCCAGTTCCACAGCTGTGTAATTCACACTCAAACTCTCAAAGAGGTTTTTTGCCATTTTGCAGTATGGACATGTTGTTTTAGAGAAAATCACCACACAGTTTTGTGAAATAATGTCCTGTGTGCCCAAAAGAAAGTTAGAAGTCAGCGAGCTTCAAGCCAATGCACTTAGAACACTATTGAACAGTAATGAAAGTAATACACGAGTTAAAAAGCTGCTGTTAGAGCAGCAAACACAGGGAAATCTCTGCTGGCACCTCTGAAAGCAGGTTTGACCTGCTCCTGGCTCCAAAACAGCACAGGGATGGTGGAGTGTGTGGTGCAGACTGCTCTGCCGTCTGCCCAACTCCCTGTGTCCCCCTGAATTGTTTAGGAGTTTTCTCTGTCCATGAGGCACTTGGGATGTGCCAGTGGCAAGCACAGTGACCAAAAGCAGTGGGTGGAAGATACACCCTTATCACTTTACTGTAAATTCAAGGGGGTTTCAGGCTATCATTTACTATCAGTAAATTTATAAACCACAACTTCAAAAATATTTAACTTTACTTGATATCAGTAATTTTACACGGTTCTATCCCTGATGTCGACAGCAGCACTGAATTTGAATGGAGTTCTTAAAAAAAACCCATAAAATGGGTGCAGCCTAGGATGATCAGGTCCCAGGGCTGCGGATAAATACAACTGCCAGCATAACCATGGCTTGATAACCACGATGAACATAGGAACAGGTTCAACAGGCAGAACTGTTTACAGTATTTGTGTAAATAAGGAAAGGTTTGAAGTAATTGGCTTTTATAACTGCTGAAAATCAGTAAAAGCAACATAAATAATGCTACCTGTATTTGATTCACAGCAGCATCATAAGACAATCCTACAGAAGCGGTCTGGCTGTTCCCCATTCTATAACTAAAAAGAAATGACAGTCAGATCTTTGAGCTTTCCAAGAATCGCCACATTGCCCTGTTTGTTTCGGTTTTCCACTGACTGCACCATGGAAGTTCACTTGAGCTGCAACATCTGCAGCCAGCCCGCTTCCCGTGTGCCTGCAGGGAAGGGCAGCGGCGGGATGGCTGCGGCTGCGAACAGCCCGGAGGGGCCGTTACGGGAAAACGCTCCGCGCCGCCCGTGACAGCCACACACACACACAGAGACAGACACACAGACACACACAGAGAGACAGAGACAGACACACAGACACACACAGAGAGACAGAGACACCGACAGCCACACACACACACAGAGACAGACACACAGACACAGACAGAGAGACAGAGACACAGACAGCCACACACACACACAGAGACAGATACAGACAGACACACACACAGAGAGACACACACAGACAGACACACACACAGACAGACAGAGACACACACACATACAGACAGACAGACACACACACAGACACACAGACGCACACACACATAACAGACACACACACAGACACACACACACAGACAGACAGACACACAGACAGACAGAGACAGACACACACACACAGACAGACAGACACACACACACATAACAGAGACAGACAGACACACACAGACAGACACACACACAGAGACACACAGACAGACACACACACAGACACACACACAGACAGACACACACACAGACACAGACACAGAGACAGACACACACACACAGACAGACAGACACACACACACAGACAGACAGACGCACACACACATAACAGAGACAGACACACACACACACAGAGACACAGAGACACAGAGCCAGCCACACACACAGACAGAGACAGATACAGACAGACAGACAGACACACACACAGATAGACACACCCACAGACACACACACAGACAGACACACACACAGATAGACACACCCACAGACACACACACAGACAGACACGCGCACACAGACAGACACACAGACAGACACAGAGACACACACACCCCCACACGTGTGACACCCGCGACACCGCGGGACCCCGCACCGCTCCCGAGCCCTGCCCTCATCCTCATCCCGAACCCTGTCGCTCTCCCAGTCCCGATTCCGGGCCCGGTCCTTGTTCCGGTCCCGATCCCGGTCCCCGTCCTTGTCCCTGTCCCGACCCCAATCCCAGTCGCGGTCCCGGTCCCGATCCCTATCCCGGACCCTCTCCTTGTCCCGATCCCTGTCCCGATGCGGATCCCGATCCCGGTCCCTGTCCTTGTCCCGGTCCCTGTTCCTGTCCCGACCCTAATCCCAGTCGCGGTCCCAGTCCCTGTTCCGGACCCTCTCCTTGTCCCGGTATCTGTCCCGATCCCGGTCGTGATCCCTGTCCTTGTCCCCGTCCCGGTCCCTGTCCCAACCCTAATCCCAATCCCGATCCCGGTCCCTGTCCCGATACCGATCCCAGTCCCGATCCCGATCCTTATCCCTTTCGCAGTCCCAGTGCCGATTCCAGTCCCTGCTCCAGACCGTGTCCTTGTCCCGATCCCAGTCCCAATCCCTATCTCTATGCGTGCCCCGATCCTTTTCCCATTCCCATTCCCATTCCCGCTCCCGCGCCCCCGGCCCGCACTCACCGCCCCCCCCAGGCCGCCGCCACGCGGCGCAGCGCCCCCTGCAGGGCCATGGCTGCGGCAGGAAGGGGCGGCGCTCCTCTCGGCCCTCACGGCGCCGCTCCTCTCAGGCCCCCGCGCCGCCTCTCGGGGCTGCCCGCCGCGCTGCCTGTGCTCCGGGAGCGCCAGAGACACGGGGACAGCTGGGACAGCACGGGGAGAGCACGGGAACGGGAACTGCACAGGGACAGGACAGCACGGGGACGGGGAGAGCACGGGGACAGGACAGGGACAGGACAGGGTCAGCTGGGACAGCACGGGGACGGGGACAGCACAGGGACAGAGCCAGTACGGGGACAGGGCCACACAAGGGCAGCACAGGGCAGCACAGGATGGGGCAGCTTTCCCAGGATGGGGCCAGGGGAAGGCGTAAGGAGGGGCTGGGTTTCCCGGGATGGGGTCGGGAGAGGCATGAAGGAGCTGGGTTTCCCGGGATGGGGTCGGGAGAGGCATGAAGGGGCTGGGTTTCCCGACAGGGACAGAGCCAGTACGGGGACAGGGCCACACAAGGGCAGCACAGGGCAGCACAGGATGGGGCAGCTTTCCCAGGATGGGGCCAGGGGAAGGCGTAAGGAGGGGCTGGGTTTCCCGGGATGGGGTCGGGAGAGGCATGAAGGGGCTGGGTTTCCCGGGATGGGGTCGGGAGAGGCATGAAGGGGCTGGGTTTCCCGGGATGGGGTCGGGAGAGGCATGAAGGGGCTGGGTTTCCCAGAGGCCCCGGAGCCGCTCCTGCTGTGGGGGAGGCCGGGGACATTTGTCCTCCTGCCCGGCTGCCTTCCAGATGTGGGGGTTTCGGCGGTGCCTTTGCTTTGTCCAGTGTACAACTTACTTTAAATCTTCTCCGTCCCCGTTTCCGTTGCCTGTTCTTCCTCACGTTTCTTTCCTGCCTCGCAGTTCCTCGGGCAGAAGCTGAGCTGTGAAACAGGAGAGTTGGGAACGGAGTGAACAATGGGTGGGGGGTGAAGAGCTGCTGCTGGCACCTGGGGAGTTGTGTAGTGGAGTTGGCCAATCGTGTAATGTATGGAATGTTTTTAGTGGCTCCTGGGAAAAAAAGAAAGGGGAGGTTTTAATTTATGTGGTAGGTTTTTTTATTTCCTCAGTCTGCCCAGTAAAAGCTGTTCAACAACATTCTGTTATTTGCCCCTCACATACCTTGCTGTGGAGCCTGGTCAAATGAGTGTCCTTGGCAGAGCTTTCCTGTGGAATATCCTCTGAGCATCCCCTCTGGGGTCTGCACAAGGGTTTCAGTAGTGGAGAAACTTTTCTAACCCCTCTTCGCTGAGAGGGTAATTGTGCTCTGGATCACTGCTCAGTGCTCAGCCCTGTGTTTTAAAAAATACTGCAAGGAAATGCACATGCACACTGATTTGGTTTTGTATCAGTCACATGTATCTGTAAAAAAGGGAGTGTGTGTTCATGCATGATGTATCTTTCTAGTATCTTTCTGGATGTTGATTAATCCTAAATGAACTTACCTATGATGAAAAATTGTCTAATGCTTTGCAACTTAATTTTGATTTCCTACCAATATCAGTATAACCTGTTAAAGTAGTGAGAAAATGCAACTGAAATATTGTACCCATGTCATATTCTTGCATTTTGCTAAATGGTAACTTGCTTGCTCATTTCAGGTAATGATTTTGTAGCCTAATCTTCTGTGATAAAACTGATAAACTCTCAGGTATCTAATGCCGCATGAAAATAGTTTCATATCAAATCCTGTTTCAATGATATAAATGCTGGTTTATAATGTCACTATGATCCCCAAAGCAAACTGTGGGAACTATTTTGTAAACTCCCAGTTAAAACTTGTAATGAAAGCGTCATGTTAAGAGGAAACCCACTATAATTTTGCATTAAATTTGGCAGAAAATCACCCTCCTGGCATTCCAGCTGCTCCTCAGGTATCAGAGGGGCTGGGACAGCTGGGTTTAGCTTCTGAGCCGTGGCCAGTTCAGCAGCAGACATGCAGAGCTGGTGTGACACTGGAAGGAGATGACCTTTGGAGCTCCTTCCAACCCAGCCCACCCCGTGGTTCTGTGCTGGTGGTGAGTACCCTGTGTGCAGAAGTGTGTGTGAGCCCGTGAAATATGAACCGTACGTGTGGGGGGATAGAATATAAGAAAATAAAGATAGTGCAGAGAGTAATCTCACCCCCAAGGAGTTGCAGCTGGGCCAATTACCAAAGATTAGGAATGGGCCTGACTTTAACAGGCCACAGCTGTGACCAGTGAGAAGAAGAGTGCTATAAAAGAGTGGGTTGGCTGGTTGAGAAGGGAGCTGGAGTCAGCTGGTTACTTTGTGAGGAGGAGAGGGTCAGTGCTCTGAGGAGCTGCCCACGAGAAGACACCAAGGAGGTATGAAACTTTTGTGATATGGAGACAACAGTATGGAACTTGTGCAATAATATGACAACTTGTACAGCCAGCCACAAGCACAGTCGGTGGGGAGATGCCAGTGTAGCAGTAAGAATATGATCCCAAGCACAGGCTGGCTTTCTAAATTTCCCCAGCAAGCACCCGCTATAGCCGAGCACTGGAGTCTTACCCAGCCGGTGTTCCTGTGGAGAGGAGAGAGGTGGAGCCCTCTGACAGTGCTGGGAATCAGAGATGGAGTCTCCTCTGACCTCCCTTACCACTACAGCTCTATTTATGTTGTTTCCAGTGAGCGACAGGAGAGGTGAAGTTGTGGCTGACATAATTTCCTGTCTAAGTGGAGTTTGATTTTAGTCATGAGCACATACGGGGGGTACTGACACAAAGCTGGGTCATTCCTTTGGCCTGGTTCCTGTTACCTGCATTGTTCCTGCCAGAGCGTGACCACAGCACCTCTGTGCCTCTCTTTCCTTTGTTTCACATCTGCATTGATTTCAGCAGGGCGAGACCAACTCGCTCCCTGCTGCTCCCTGCTTTGTTCCCTCCTCCCAGAGCAGCACACCGACAGGGATCCTGCTCCTGAGGGTGCAGGCAGCTTGTCCCTGCTGGGCTGCTGCCAGTGCACACACTCCTTGCTCAGCTTTCTTTTTCAGTGTTCTCCCCAGGGAAGGCAACCTTGAATGAAAAAAAGAACCAGAACGACCATGTTTTCTGGAAACCTGACAATAAATCTCTTTGCAGCCGTGTGTGCAGCTGACTGTGTGCACCATTCCCTGCTCCTGAGCAGCAGAACGGAGCAGAACTGAAATGAGGGGCTTTTTGGTGTCATTGCAACACAGTGCCTGTGTGTGCCACTGAGCAGAGGCATTACTTGTAGTGCAGCAGATGTTCAGGATGTGCTTCTGAAGAGGCAGCGCTGGTTTAGGGGATACACTGGGGCTTTTGGGTGAGGCATGGAAATGGGACTTGGCCTGCGGGAAGCATTTTGTGTCCTGTTCCAATTTTCATGAGCTGTAGCTCCAGTCATCATTCCAAATCCAGTTCAGGAAATGATACTGTTTATTCATTATGTCTTTGTCTTCTAAAGACATAAATATTACTCTATACCAATTGACAAATAAATATTGGCAGTGATTGGTATAATTCCCATGTGGTGTTGCAGTACATATTTGTGTGCTAGACTTCTTTAATACCATATCTGAAGTGTTTTAAATACGTTTGCGGTGCTCTGTGTGTTGTTGTTCTGACACAGATGGGGATATCACTAACATATTGAAACAGGGAATTCTATAGGCTGTTGGCTTTTAGTCTGTTTTGTCAGTCTCAGCACGTTACTTACAAGAAGAAAAATGACCCAATTCTGCCTTTTGCAAATTTAAGATGGTATCATGTTTTCTGCCAGTGTTGGGGAATGTTAAGAAAATTCTGAGCATCAAAGGTTAGAGTAAGTCATGATGAGAGCTTGCTTTGGGGTCTCAAATGCTGCAATGAATATTCCCCAGGAGGTACCAGCTTCTTTGGTCTTGCTGGGAATGCTATGCTCCCGATTTTTGTGTGTTTGAGCAGAAGAAATTAACCTGGAATGTGGAGAGAGCTCAGGACAGCTGCAGCTGTGCAGTTGCTGAGGTGAGCAAACTGAGCTCTGAGATCCCAGATTCTGCAGGGTAACATGGGATGTGCTCCATGGCATTACTGTTTGTCCTTCTTCAGATTCACAGGCAACATTTTCCTAATGACCTTTATTTTTTTGCTATGGTCTTTTGATGGCTTATTTGTATCAGAATTTTTGTGATTGATAAAGCAGAGACTTTTCCTTTTTTTACCCAGCTTTATATCCAGGATACAGGAGATTTTCTCTCCAGCATGCAGAGTGAGATGCAAGCACAGCGTCTCAGAGAAGCAGAGTCACAGAACACCCTCGGCTGGAAGGGACCCACAAGGATCATCGAGCTGAACTCCCGTCCCTCCACAGGACACCCCAATAATCCCAGCATGTGTCTGAAAACACTGCCTAAAAGCTTCTGGAACTGTGGCAGGCTTGGGACCATTACCTGCCCTGGGGGAGCCTGACCACTGTCTGGGTGAGGAGCCTTTTCCTAAAGTCCAGCGTAAACTCCACTGATACTGCTTCCTGTGCTCCCTCTGCTCCTTTTACACTGTTTTACTGAGGTGGCACCCCAAACAGCCCCAGACCCCTCTCAGGGCTCTTCAAAACCTCTTTAGTGTCTCTAAAGCCCCTCCAAGTACACCATAAACCATCCCAGCCCCCCCAACATCCCCCAAACCTCCTCAGCACCCCAAATCCATTTTAACTCTCTCCGACCCCTCCCTAAAGCATTCCCTGAAGCCCCATTAGCACCCCAAATCCCTTTGAGCACCCTCTAAAACCTCTTCAGCCTCACTAAAACTCCTCCCAGTGTACCACATGCTGTCCTAGCATCCCAAACCCCCCTCAAACCTCAACACACCCGAAACCCTTTTTAGTTGTGCTTTAGTATCCACAAATGATTCCCAGGACCTTGCAAAACCCCATTAGCACCTCCAAATGCATGCCAGCACCCCTAAAATCCCGTTTGCACCACCCACCCCTTCCAGCACCCTCTAAAATCTCTTCTCCAAACCAAAACTCCGCGTTTCCCCCGCCCAAACCAGCCCAGCACGCCGTGACTCGGCGGCCACGCGGGACCATCAAAGCTCCAGGGAAAAGAAGCACTCCGATAAACTTCGGCAGCGATTGTGTGTGTGTAGAGCTCTATTTTCACGTAAACCATAAGAAAGCTCTGCGCTCTCAGGACGGAGAAAGCCATACCCACACGCCTCGCCCCGCCCGGGCTGCCCTGAGGGCGGCAGCGGGGGCGCGGCCGCCGTGAGGGACAAGGGGCGTGGCTTCCCTTAGCACCGCCCCCTCCCGGGCGGGGGCGGGCCCACGTCGCTTCCATGGCAACGCGTCCGGCGTCGCCCCGGTAGGCGGCGCGGCGGCGTTGGCTCAGGCATTCGCGGCGGGCAGCCCGGGGCGCGCCGGCGGGGTCCTGCGGCGGGCGGCGGCGGCCGGAGCGGTGGCGGCCGGGCGAAGATGGCGGACGTGCTGAGCGTGCTGCGGCAGTACAACACGCAGAAGAAGGAGATCGTGGTCAAGGGCGACGAGGTGATCTTCGGAGAGTTCTCCTGGCCCAAGAACGTCAAGACCAACTATGTCATCTGGGGGTGAGCGACGCGGCCGGGCCGAGGGGCGGGTGGGGGAGAAGTTGCCCCGAAGTTGCGCCCGGGCAGCGGGGCGGCGGTGCCGCCGTCCTTGGCGCCCCGCGGGTAGCGAGGGGACGGGGGCGGGCGGGCTGCTGCCGCCCCCCGCGGGGCCTCGGGGCCCCGGCGCGCTGCCCGGCCGTCCCGTGGGCGATCCCCGTCCCCTGGCAGCCCGGCCGGGCAGGCAGCGCTCGCCGCTCCCTTCGGGAACGTTCCCGGGTCCTGCCCCGGGCCGGCGGAGCCGCGGCCGCGCCGTTCCGCGGCTCTCGGCGCTCCTGTCCGTGCCGCCCGCGGGGCCGCGTCCTGCAGACTCATGCGATGAGATGGCAGCAGGCTGCTGCTCCCAAGTTTTCCCGGGTGTTTGGTGAAAAAGACGCGTGATGTTGTTGCTCGGACGACGCTCTCAGGCACACGGGGCGATTCTTGGGGTGTTTTGCGCGGGGCCGGGAGCTGCAGTCGGTGATCCCGATGGGTCCCTTCCCACTCAGCATAGGCTGTGATTCTGTCCTGGGTTGTCGGGGCTGCTTCTCGTCTCCTGGAGCTTTGACAAAGGCCCGGACCGACGCTCCCTGTGATGAGCTGTGCAGGTGCTCTGCCCCCACCTGAGGCCTCTTCCCGGGCAGAAGCTCGTGCAGGCTGTTTCCTATTGGTCTTATCGGAACAAACAAGTAGAGAGAGTGTTTATGTGGCTTAAATGATTGTAGGAGATAAAATGCCCGGTTTTAGAAAGCCTCTAGAAAGCGTGGGGTTTTACCTGTTGAATTTCCTGGTATAGCATGGATTGCTTATATTGCAAAGGAGTTTTTTGTTTGCCTTTCCTCAGAATTTAGCAGCTGTTTGCTTCTTAGTGTCCTCACTTGAAGGGTTCCAATGAATCTTTTTCAAACTGAAGAGGGGAAAATGCTTCTTTTTAAAGCTCAGGTCCTGATCAAAGAGGACATGTTATCCTGTGAACCTTTGTGGAAAAGCAGAAGTGCCTGCAGATTTCTCACAAAACCCTGAACTTGTAGTTAAGTCTGACCAGCAACTATTATTTTTTTCCCCTCATAATTATGATATGACCATTAGCCTTAGATTGAGAGAGAGAAAGGAATTAAGCCTACTTGCTTATCTTCAGTTGTAGGTGGACTTTTCATAGCTAATTTTACTTTGCACCTTATGTATTGCTAGAAATCTGCTTTTTCATTTCCTGTTTTAAGCTTTCAGAAATTAATTTTGTTGTTATTTGTGCTTCCTGGCTGAGTGGGGGATACTGGTACGTAGACTGAAGAGGAAGAAAAATATTTGGACAAGCAGTTAGAAGTCTTGGATGTATTTTTGCTGGGCACTGTGTAGACAGATGTGGTGGTTTCCTTGCTCTAAGTTGCCTTTCCCAAGTGGTAACAAGTAGTGGTTAAGTAGACAAACAAGTTTCATTGCCCTTCTGCAGGGAACAAGAAACTGATATACCAGCCCTATACTATTGCTCAGGACAGCTTGGATTAGACCCAAAAATTGTTACCAAAAGCTTAAAAGCAGCTGGAGAGCAAACTTTGCTTTGTTCAGCCAGGCAGCTTTGTGTTGCTGGTCAGGAAGGAGGTGTGGGTGAGCAGAGGGCTCTCTGAGCACAGCAGCAGCAGCTCCTGCCGCAGCTGAGCGCTCGCCTCCTGCGCTGCCTGTGGTGGAATCTGAGGGGTTTTCTTCTTGGGTTTGTTGGAGGTGAGTCAGTGAATCTTGGTTTAGACCAGTGCCTTCTGAGCTTTTGGTAGGATCAGACTGCTCTCAGTTCACAGCATTTCTTGTCAACCACAGTGGCATTTTGTATGTCTCAGCTTTGAACTGAAGACACTGTAAAAATGAGACCAGTTCTGCAAGCCATGCTCAGTAGCTTGAACACCACACTTCAAGAGCTGCTAATTTAGGTAATTGCTGCACTCAGGAGGGACATTCTGAAAAACTTTCAAGATTCAAACCCTTTTATTTTCAGGTCACTTGACAGAATCTAAATTATGCTTGCACTGAGCAGGTGTTGGGGGCTTAATCTTTCACAGAACAAACCTTGAGTTCTGTTTTAGGTGTCCCCAGTACGGTTGCTGTAATTGCATCTCCAGCCTGAAGAGAGTAATGCCAGGCTGAAGAGCAGCAGTGGCATTTGTCCCTGCTAGAATTAGAAGTAGTCCCAGGAGACATTTAGCTGTGGCTCCTCGAGCAGCCTAGCTGGCAGAAGTCAGCAGTGCTGCCCTGCATTGCCTTCTCTCTCTCTAGCACACGTGTCACCCAAACAGGGAACTGGGCTGAGGAATCAAGCCAAGTTAAAGGTAACCTGGAGGAAGAAAAAAAAAGTGGGGGGGAAAGCAACTTTAATCCAGTTTAGTTTCTAGGTAATAATTACAGGGATGCTCCTGCTGGCACATGAAAAAGGCTAGGTGGTCTGAGATGAAGTGGTTTGTGTCTTTTGACCTATGGGCTCTGAAGAGTGATTAATGAATCTGTTTCAAAACCAAAGGAAGGAATCCATCTACCAGAGAAATGTATTGCTTTGTTTGCCTAGTCAAGGAGCTTGGATATGCAGCTGAGTTTTCAAACAGTGAGCAGCTGGCCCTGGGTATTGTCAGTTGTGTGATACTCAGTGTGCTTTGTTTTGTGTTTTTAAAGATTTCTCCTTGGGTTTGTGGATGAGACACAGGTCCATAGTACTCTGTAAAACTTCAGGCTTTGAAACAGGAAAGAGGAAATAGAGCTGTTAAAAATGAATAAATTACTGGTGCCCACAGGTGGAAGGTGAATGGATGAGAAAGAAGTAAGTTTCTGGTGTTAAAAATGAGCAGATGAAACTTACTCTCTCCTATCATATAAACATTTTCTCAATTTTTAAGCTGGAGTTTGTAAGAGATGCAGCCATTCCTTATATTTTTGCTTTAATGATTGTCACTGGGTTTGTTGAGGTCTGCCCCTAAGATTTTAATTTTTTTCTTAAGTAATTGATGTCATAACTGAATATCAAAAATAACATAATTAATTTCTATTTCCACTTTGGATGTTTGTCAGTTGAATGAGGCAAGCTACCCTCAGATCTGCCTGTTTTTAGTTCTCTGTTTATTTAGCAGGAGCACACACTGATGTTGAAATGTCAGTTTAGGCTTAGGTTTTCTCCTTGTGTGCAACTGCTTGTCCATCTGATGATTTCCTATTAATGTGCAATATCTTGTGCTCCTAATAAAACATCCTCTTAGAGCCATAATGAGTACGGGGAATTCTTGTGTGTGTGGTTGAAGTGATGAAGTACCAGCTGTGCCCTGCTGAGCTTTGGCAATGCCTGTGGCTTTGTAGCTCTGTATTGTTTCAATTAATAGATAATGCTCCAGTATTTGTTTGTTTTTATATCTTGTCCTTTATTGCTAAATATTGTAAAGCTTGAGTACATGACCAGCTGGACTTTTCCATCATGCTCAATGCACACTTCAAAGAAATAATGAGTGATTCTGAACTAAGACAATCTAAAGTGTTTGTTTTAAAATGAAGTGACAGCTGTATCATGTGACATCATGGCTTGCTTCAGAGCTAAGCCTGTGTAGAGGAAGCTTTTATTTCTGCTAGTGCTTCCAGTGTGTTTAGAAACCGCCTTATCAAAGATCCTTACTGCTTTGCTGCTTGTTCAAACAGTTCCTTGCTGAGGAATCCAGTTCTGGGGGCTGCCTGTAGTTGTCAAGCCAAGTTTTGGCTTCTTAGCAGTTGAAAGAAAAATCCTGTGTGTCTACTCCCCTTCCTCTGCAGCAACAAAAAGTACAGGCACCCTCCACCTCATGCAGACCAAGTTTTTGGAAGGCAGGGATAATGGTAAGAGAGACCCTTTATTCTGCAGTTCTGGTATCCTGAATCCCTTTTCTCTGCATGTTATTCTTGTGTCTTGT